CTAATACCATAAAATCTCTAGAAGAAAATGTAGGCAAAACCATCAGGGACATAGGCACAGGCAAGGCCTTCATGACTAAAACACCAAAAGCATCAGCAACAAAAGCCAAAATAGACAAATGGGATCTAATTAAACTCCAGAGCTTCTGCACAGCAAAAGAAACCATCATTAGAGTGAACTGGCAACCAACAGAATGGGAACAAATTTTTGCAATCTACCCATCTGACAAAGGGCTAATATCCAGAATCTACAAATAACTAAAACAAATTTGCAAGAAAAACAACAAGCCCATTCAAAAGTGAGAGAAGGATATGAACAGACACTTTTCAAAAGAAGACGTATATGAGACCAACAAATATATGAAAAAATGCTCATCACTGGTCATTAGAGAAATGCAAATCAAAACCACATTGAGATACCACCTCATGCCAGTTGGAATGGCGATCATTAAAAAATCTGGAGAGAACAGATGCTGGAGAAGATGTGGAGAAATAGGAACACTTTTACACTGTTGGTGGGAGTGTAAATTAGTTCAACCATTGTGGAAGACAGTGTGGTGATTCCTCAAGGACCTAGAAATAGAAATTCAGTTTGACCCAGCAATCCCATTGCTGAGTATATATCCAAAGGACTATAAATCGTTCTATTATAAAGACACATGTACACATATGTTCATTGCAGCCCTGTGTACAATAGCAAAGACCTGTAACTAACCCAAATGCCCATCGATGATAGACTGGACAAGAAAAATGTGGCACATATATACCATGGAATACTATGCAGCCATAAAAAACAATGAGTTCGTGGTTTTTGTAGGGACATGAATGAATCTGGAAACCATCATTCTCAGCTAACTGACACAAGAACAGAAAACCAAACACTGCATGTTCTCACTCATAGGTGGGTGTTGAACAATGAGAACACGTGGACTCAGGGAGAGAAGCATCACACACTGGGGGCTGGGGGCAGTGGGGAGGGCTGGGGGAGGGACAGCGGGGGTTAAAGATGGTGGGGAGGGATGACATGAGGAGAAATGCTGAATATAGATGAAGGAGGAATAGAGGGAGAAAACTACCTGGTTATGTGTGCACCTATGCAGCAACCCTGCATGACCTGCACATGTACCCCAGAACCTAAAGTGAAATAAAAAATAAATAATAAAAAAAGAAATATTCCAGATACATGTCATGTAAAAAAAATTATTTTCCAAGGATAGTTTCCTGTACATTGTTTAATGACATGCAATAAAATTACCTAAGACCAAATCTGAAGCATTGCTGTACCATTGAGAGAAGACAGCATTAGCAATATGCACACAATTCTATGAAATATTGGAAGACGAAAGAAACACAACTTTTTACAATACAACTAGCTAAGTTATAACCCTCCTACCATCAAATTTTACATGGCATAAATTTATACTTTTTAATCATCAGGAAGAATAGGGACAGGTATACAAGGACCCATGCTGGCAGAATGTCCTCTTGCTATTAATGTGGAATTCATTTCTATACATGGACACCCATCTACCCTAGCTTTGTCTCTCAAGCCAGGGAAAGATGGTGATAGGAGGAGTATAAAGGAATAATTTAAAGACAGCTATCTTGGGCCCTAATAGAAATGCAAATGAAGGGACTAAGGGCAAAATTGCAACAGAATATTTTACGTTTTTATCTTTCAGGAATCCCCCCTTCGTTCTTTCTGTCTCTATTTGACTGATATCATCATTCACTCTCCCTCCCCACCCCCACTGTACAGACCAACTCAAAAATACATAAATACCATCTGTTTCATTATCAATTCAGTGCTAATCATTGCTGGTAGATAAGTTTCACAGAAATAAAGCTTTTAAAACAAATCTATTAGGAACAAAAAAAAAAAAACACAACAACTCTTACAGCCATGAAAAATTATCTACTACTTTCAAATCCACATATTTGACAGAAACAGTTCCCAATCAAGTTAACTTTATAGTCCATATGAGGATATTTGATGATTTTCAGAAGCAATGCAAAATCTTTTAATTATATATGAGTTTACACTAGACAGAACATTGGACTAGTGAATGAAATATAAAGGATAAGCAATGGAAGTAATGAAACAGGCAGAAATTCATTAGTAAATTAGTCACATTGAGATAAACCACCCTACATATAATCAAATCAGAAGTTCTATTCTGAATATATTTATTATTTTGTTTTTCATATAAGGATGCATACATCATAAAGATTTAGAATTACATGCTATCTCACAATGATGTTTTGAAGGTTAAAGTTCTCTCTTTGCCTAAACATTCATTTTTACTCAGATAAAATGAAACCTAAAAAGTAATTCTCTCCTTGTCTGAGATACAAACAGATATCAAATATCTTCTCAAATTGTTTATGTTCTACAAATATGTAAGAAGCACTTTCCTCCACTTCCCTCCCAGAGGCATTTCTCATGAACTTCTGGATAACATGGTACCTTTTTTATTTACTTAGGGAAATGCACTGAGCATCTAACTACTCTTCAATCTTATTAGGAGACAGTCTTTATTTATGTATTTGCATTATTGCCTGTCCCAGACCTATTCATTCATATTCCAAGTAAATTTCAATGTACTTGACTCAGCTAGTTTCTTAACGTTGAAGACTACTCACATTTCATGTTGGATATCTAATCTGCAGAGTGACCCTTATGTGAATTAAATAATCTAATAACATGTCATATGATGCAAAAACATTAAGATGAGGAGAACCATGGCCTATGGAAAATAATTTTTAAAAGTTAGCTAACAGCACAGCATGGCTGAGGCCTATGAGTAAAGGAAGATTGCATAAAATATGCAATTTAGGGAGCAAATAGAGACATTTTGCAAGTCCTGATTCAAAGACACACAATTAAAAACTACATACACTGAATAATCATCTTTCATTATAAAATTAATTTATTTTACTTAGACTTTGTTCATACCCCTCATGCCTAAAGGAAATGACCAAAATAATGTGTTCAATTATTTTATTCATTCAGATACTTATAGTTAGAAAACAATATTTCTATCTTCTAAAATGTCTTTAGTGAGCTATAATTTGATTAGCAAACAGATGCCTTGGTCTTTTCAAGTGATCTTAGCAAAAAAAAATAAGTGACAGAAAAGGAAAGCACAAATCCAGTTACATCAGAAAATACTGCAAATATGTGACATCTAAAATGTAATTGGTGAATTATGGATAAAATATGAGTTTTGTGAAATTTTTCCATATCGACAAACAGAAGTAAACACATGAATTTTTAAATGTCTTTTTGGACTAACACTTTAATTTTGGAGGATGTGAGCTTTACAAGTTATTCTCAAATATTAAAAGAATCATAATGATTTCATACATTTTAGCTATTTTTTTAATTCTGTGATTTTACATTAACACCAAAAACAAGCATTAATGCTTAATGAAGAGTGACAATGCATTAGGAATAGTATAAGCCCTTTACATTTTGCATATGTTATGTAATTGAATCTTATACTAACCTTATGCGACTGTTACTAATGCCTTCATTTCGCAAATGAGAACAATTATTTTCAGTCATGAAAATGATAGATAAGATTTCTATTGAAAATTTTTCTGGCTGGCACAGTGGCTCCCACCTGTAACCCCAGCACTTTGGGAGGCTTAGGTGGGTGGATCAGGAAGTCAGGAGCTGGAGACCAGCCTGGCTAACATAGTGAAACCCAGTCTCTACTAAAAATACAAAATTAGCATGGCAGGGGGCGCCTGTAATCCCAGCTACTCAGGAGAATGAGGCAGGAAAATTGCTTGAACCTGGATGGTGGAGGTTGCAATGAGCCATTGTACTCTAGTCTGGGCAACAGAGTGAGACTTGATCTCAAAAAAAAAAAACAATTCTAAGGGTGTATTTAAAAGACCAATTTTTATTTATTTTTGAGATTAATAAAATATCTAATTATTATATAATATGCCATATATGATTTGAAAATTATATATTAATAGAAGTGGTTTTTCATTACACAATCCTAAAACATTTAGCAGTTTTAAAAAATTTAACTATAAAATGTTTATCTCAAAGTTTTTCATATTTTCCAGTGCTACTTCTTATGTTTAATGATGATTACCAGGGATTTTGTTCATCACTCACAAATACTGATTTTTAGCTTTCTACAGTTCTATAGTTTTCTATAATCCTGAGCACAAAAATTGTATACAGTTTGATGTAGTGGGAAAGTGGAATGTCCTCGATACACAAATACCTTATTTATCCACATATTTTGAGGAAATTATATTCTATTTCTAGGGTAGTTTTATGCAAAAATATGCAAAATCACATACATAAACACACACTCTAAACCCCCATAGCGGGAAAGTCAATAAATTGTAGTTATTCACGTTTATTATCCAAAAAGGGCTGTACAAAAAAGTTAGTTTGTAAAAATTAGATTAGCATATTTTTCTTTTAGTTAAACAATTTTAGTCATAGGCAAGAAAAAGAAAAAATTAAAGTTTTCAGAATGAGTTATAAAGGATGAATGCATAGTACAGTATTCAAGATATTACTCTATGATGCACCACCCAGAACACCCTTCAGAAATTAAGAACTTATTTTCCAAGTGCTGGAAGTGCTGTTACCTTTGAGGCTTGCCTCAATTCAGCGCTACCTTACAGGAGGTCACATTCTCATAGAAGGGCAGCTGCAAGCAATGCCTGCCAATGTGGGGGTATCAAAGGCAGCCCCCTTCTTTACGGGGGAAAACTCTGAATGAATATCCTAGCCTCAACCTCCATTGAGATCTCATCAAACTTCAGCTTCTCCCTTGAACCAGTCTTGCTTCTGTCACTTCCCTTCCATAGGTGTTGCTCTGTAACGCTTCCTCGTTGACCTCTTGCACATTAATCTCGGCCTCAGAGTCAGCTTTCTGGGGAGCACAGTCTGGGAAAATACTCCTAGTTTTGTTTTGTTTTACTTGAGTAACTTCACCATCAAAAGCATTCCAGGGACAGCAATGATAATAACCAATGTAAGGGAACAATTAAATCAACAAGAAGATTCAGAATTAAGTGGCCAGCTTTGTATGTCAGTCTGACAGGGCAAGCTGCCAAGAAGGTACAGCCCATTCGGTGCTGCTCTGAAGAAAGTGATATGGTAAAATAGGCCAGAACACCAGGAGAATTTTAAGACTGTATCTCTTATAAAAAGGCTTGGCCTGTTTTGAAAATAGTTATAATTCATTTTTATAATGTGTATTTGAATAGTGAAAATAATCTGACAAATTTAGCATCTGTTAAAGTGAGAATCAAATTATTCCCTACCAATACATGATTTTTTTGGTAAAATACTCCAATGTATTTTTTAAAATTCTAATTTTGAAGAAAAATTGCCAAAATGTTACAAATGTAATTGCCACTGTAAATGGAACTAATCCAATACAACACAAGACTAATGGTTTTGGCTAAAATTAAATTTATCTTAGAATCAAACATCAAAATAAAACTTTAATAAGAGTAATTTCTTACTAATCTGAAGATGTCAGTTTTTTTTTTTTTAATGTAAATCTACAAATTTTAAGAGACATATCATCCCCGTCAGGTTGAAGCAGGAAGATTTGGGTGTCGTTCCAGCTAATTTAGTGCAGACTCATGTGGCATCTTAGTAATTCAAATAATAAATCCTTCTTATATAATTAAGATTGCAACTCTAGTTTCAAAATTTGAAAAACAAAAAAGCCATGTAAACCTTATTGCTCTATTGAAAATGGCTGGACCCAGTTGCCTCATAGAACCAGTGTTTCTAAAACATTGCTTTTAAGTAAAAGTACACATAAAATATATTACAGGGTATTAAATTGAATTACTTTGGCTTCATGTTTTGCTTATAAAGCAAATTTCTTACCCTGCCTTCTCATAACGTGTACTTAAGGAACAAAACTTTTCACAATGATTCTCTATATTTTGAAATCAAAGATGAGTTATTTTTAAAATTTATTTAATAAATATTTCTTAAGGTTTTCGTAATGTCTCACCACAGAACAGAGTTGATAATAATTTTCCCAAGGAATGTGCTCAAGAACTGACTCTTTCGCTCTTATTTAATCCCAATCAATCTTTACATTTTCCATGCTTTGTTTCATGCAGCCATAAATCCTCTGCATGCAGGCCAGTACACCAACAAATCAGTTTAAGGAGTTTGGCCCAATTTCTTAATGGGTCTTTAGGGAAAGTTCTCTAGGTCCTTACGAAATCACATAAGACACTGAAGAATTTTGGGAATACAATTTTAAAGTAACCACACAGTTAAGAAAAGACAACAAAAATTATTTTTTATAAATTTTGAATGAAAACTTGTAATTGGCTTTAGAAATACATTTTGATTAATATTTTAGCTAATGACAAAGGTAGCAGTTATAAATTTTTCTCAAAAATATGCAATGCTACCAAATATCACACTGTTCTCCATAAAATGTTTTGTTGAAAGAAACAAAATACACCATCTTTTTTTTAAGCTACTTGCTGCTAACCATTGTGAAAAAGAAAGGGAAAAAAAATCAGCCATATACTGGGAAATAAATCTGATACTCACAAGTAAGCATCAATGTTATTACATATTTATCTGGTGCTTGCAGCTAAATGATCTTGTACTCCCGTTAGACAAATAATCTCACAAAACACCTACTTCATACAAGGTCACTGAGCAACCCATAAAATGGTAAACATTTCTCTCACACATTTACCCATTACATCTTTACCTTTAGTCTATCTTTTCTATAGCTGAAATCTATCCATACATCCAATAACAAGCTTGCCTCTGATTGCTGATAATATCCAATCTACAGCAAATCTACCCTCGCTCATTGTTCCCTTTGTGAACGTTTTGCCTCCCTGCAACCAGGATAAACCCAACTCATTAAACTAAAAGTGTGGTCCTCGCAGTTTTTGGCTGAAAGGAACTGGCAGTGGCAAGATAGATAAGATATTCATAGATCATTAGTGTTTATTTTAAAGGAAGGGTCTTATAAGCAGCTTACAAATGGTCCTATCTTCAAATTAATTTTTAAACATCTCTGTCGAATAAGCATAAAGTGTTTTCTAATTTTCAAAATTAGGAAATGATTTTATTTGTAAAAGCTAATGAAGCTGTGCTCTAATGTGTAGACTTTCTTGCTTAAAGAGAAACAATGGTTTATTAATTGTAATGCATTACATCTTGTTTGAAGACATTTATTAAAGCTTTCCCAATTTCTTTTCTGTAGTCTCAATAAAAGTAATTTTTAAAGTTTTTCTTTGAATCATCTTTTTAATTTTTGTACCCATTAACCAATACTTTTAACATTTTAATGGATCTCTTTTGGCAAATTTTAGTTACCCAACAGGTATTAATTATATCAGGACCCTTTGAACTGACCACAAATATTAAAGGGATTATCTCACCATAATGTCCTCCAGCTCCATCCATTATGTTACAAATGACAGAATTTCATTTTCCTAGTGACAATAATATTCCATTGTATATTTTACCACATAAGTCAGACACAGAAAGACAAATCGTGCATGTTCTCATTCATATATGGCAGCTAAAAAGGTTGATCCCTTCAAGATAGAGAGTAGAATGATGGTCACCAGAGGATGGAAGAAGTAGTAGGAAGAGGGGATAAAGAAAGGTTGCTTAATGGCTACAAAAATACGGTTAGAAGGAGTAAGATCTAGTGTTCAATAGTACAATAAGATGACTATAGTTCATCATAATTTTGTGTAAGTTAAAACAAATAGAAAAGTGTAATTGGAATGGCCCTAACACAAAAAAATAATAAACATTTAAAGAGATTAATATTTTGGTAATTCTAATTTGATCATTATATAGCATATGCTTGTATGGAAATGTAACCCACATGTACCCACAAGTACCCTATAAAAATGTATAGCTATTATGTATCCATAAAAATTAAAAATAGAAAGTTTAAAAATGTATAAAAATCAAATTTTAATTATATTTAGCTTGTTTTTTCATTTTTAATATACTTAATTTATGCTTAGATCTGTATTTATATTAATACAATACTGTTAAGAATAGAGGACAATATTCGGTTTTTAAATACATGAATTTATCAAATGTACAAATAGATTTAGTTACTTGAATACAGAGAAATCAAACTTTTTCATTATTTCTTATACATAAAATTAATTCTCAATCCCTGCCCCTTTTGCCAAAGTTGGTTTGTAGAAGGTTTCCTGAGGAAGTTTTGTTGATGACAAACTAACTGATAGTCTTAAGCCGTGATCAAACTCTTTATGTTTACGCTCTCCTTGGGAGCAGGAGATGATTACTTATGATCTATATTAATGTGACCTTGGAGTTTCCACCCAAAAAATATCCAAATCAACTTTTAAGAGCAGAGATAAGTGACTCTTTATTTATTATCTTCCTGCCATATGTTGTAGTCTCACCACAAAACCCACCACTAAGAGACTTCAAGAAGCTACGAAGACTTTACAGTTTTCACTTTGGTAACCTACCATAAATGAAAAATCTAAAATTATAGCACTATTTATAATACGATACAAAAATTTAGAACCAAAAGGCAATTTATTACCATAGAGTAACAATTAAGGAAAGATTAAGTGTTTTACAATTGTTAGGTATGAAGAGTTAACAAGGTTTCCTACAATCATAAGTACATTAAACCAAAAAATATGAATAGAAAAAAATGGAAGAAAATGCAGAAACATATTTACAATTATTTTTTTTTGGTACACCAACTGTTCATCATATTTTCTTAATAGTTTTCTTTATCTTGTAAACCACTTATATTCTTTTTACTTTTATAAGTTATATGATTTTAAAATAAAGCATTTATTTTAATTTCAAAATATGACTATACATGTTTTTGTGCATACACAATGCAAATTAGTCAAAATTAATTATCATTTTTTAAATTTTTAAACAACTTTAAAGTGCATAAACCTGGATATATAACCTAGAAATATCTTTATTTAAAATGCAGTTCCAAATATGATTAATTTACAGCTGAACAATGGTTCACATACATGGGAAACTGAAATAAAACATGTATGTGCAAATAGACGTTACTATGTCTGCCTTTGGTCTTATTTCTTTTTTTTTTTTTTTTTTTTTTTTGAGATGAAGTCTCTGTCACCCAAGCTGGAGTGCAGTGACATGATCTTGACTCACTGCAACCTCTACTTCACTGCAACCTCTAACTCCTGCCTCAGTCTCCCAAGTAGCTGGGACTACAGGTGCGTGCCACCACACCCAGCTAATTTTTTGTGTTTTTAGTAGAGACAAGGTCTCCCCATGTTAGCCAAGATGGTCTCGATCTCCTGACTTCAGGATCTGCCTGCCTCAGCTTCCCAAAATGGTGGGATGGTCCTATTTCTATGTATGCTATTCTAAAGTATATGTTATTTATAAATTATTTTCATTTTTCTTAACAAAGCATTGTTAAAGTTTTAAAAGAAGATTATATCACATAGGGATGCTATATGAAAGAACAGTAACTGACTGGCTTAATTTAGAAAAAAAAAAAATTCAAAGGATCTTGGATATGTGATAGAATAAATATTGCCTAGTCAATGGGTTCAAACATTGCCCAAGTCTTTTCTTTAAGCTTCTAAGACTTCATTTTGACTAAGTAACAGGAAGTAATGCCAGAATCACATCACAGGAGCCATTGCATGAGAACACTGCCACTGTTACTACCACTGCGGTTATGATGTCACCACCAGGACTTTGATCCCTCCTTGCTGGAAGTTCCAAGACTAGTCCAGGCCCTTTCAGCTTGCAAAGGCCAGCTACTGGAGACTTACACCTTACTTGGTTTATCTTCAGACATCTGAGTGTTCAGATGCTTTCTAGCTACAAAAGTGAAAAGTGCACTGCAATGTTATATTTTTGTACTATCAAAACTGCTTTAGCATCTACATCTTAGTTGAGTGAGCAGCATATTCCTAGTCACTCACAGTAAAAACCTGGAATTCAGCCTTAAATATTTACTCCTTGCCCTGCTTATTCACTGTATTACCAAGTTTTATCAGTTTAAAATATTTCAACATCAATGTCCTACTTTTATTCTAATGATCTCTGCCTTAACAAATGGCTTTCTTAATATTACCAGAACTGCTGGAATCATATTGTTTATTTCTTTTTATGGGAGATGTTAAAAATAGATATCAGCCTCAAACTGTGATTCAACTAACAATATATCTTTGAAATATATACACGTATATTAGAAAATTATAGAAATAGAAGGAAAATGTGATAAATGATTCGTCAAATCAGCTTTAGAAATTGACAGACAGGGGTGAAAACAATAAATAATAATATAGAAGAGGTAAATACCTTTATCAACAAGCTTGATTTAAAAGATATTTTATCCATTTTCTTTTGCTACTCTAATATGTTATCACAAACCTAGTGGTGGAATCAATATAAATTTATTATTGTAATAGCTTTATTGGTCAGGAGTTTGACACATGTCTCACCAAGCTAAAATCAAGGAGTCAGCGAGGCTGCCTTTCTTTCTTCAGGCTCCAAGGACAAATCTTTTTTTCTTGCTTTTCTCACCTGCTAGAGAAAACTCACAATCCTAGGCTCATGGGTCCTGTGTTCCATCTTCAAGGCTGGCAAAATAGAATCTTTTTCAAACTCTTCTCATTTGTCACATTTCTCTCACTTAACAAAGCTGGGACCATTTCATGGTTCTTAACCTTAATCATTTTTGCATAACCGCTTTTATCGTGTAAAGTAACATATTCGTGGGTTCCAAAAATTAGGACACGGACATCATTTAGGGGCTATTATTCTACCCGGAACAAAAATAATTGAACTGTAAACCTCCAAAAGAAAGGATGTCCATTGTTCTCAAACCTATGCTTGAAACTCTCCAAAAATGAACATAAAGGCAATATTGACAACCAAAAATTCAGAAATAATTTAGGTCATTTTGCCTGACTACAATTAAAAATATAGATATCATAAAAATAGCTAAAATGTTTAAAGATCAGTAAATTTATAAGCCTGATAATAAAATGAAATTCATGTGGAATAAAAGGAAAATTAAATGACAACCTACCATAAATACATAATGTTAAGAGCATAGTGCATCAAAAGCTTGGAGGTGGAGCTAAAGTGATCCTCAAAGGAATCATAGATAACAGTTATGCTCACTATCATCAAATAAGAAAATCAAAAATAAACAAGTTTATTCTTTGGAAGATCTAAACAGAGGACAAAAAAGTCACTACAAATAAAAATACAGATACAAGTCTAAGAGGAAAACTAAATAACTAATAAAGGCAATGATTTATGGCAAGAGTCAAGTAGACAATACTTTCATATTTATGACTCAGAAAGAGAGAGTGAAAGAGAGAGGGAATCTGACTGCCTATTTTCTTTCTGACCTAATTTCTCAGAGACCATCCCCTAACATAATACCACCGCCCCCAAAACACTGTTTCTTTGTTGTTCCTGAAAAATGACAGATATGTTCTGTCTCAGGAAATTATACCTACTTTTACACTGTGCCTGGAATTCTTTCACCATGTACATATCTTCAATATAATCTTTTGTTCTTTCTTTCCATTATGCTCTCTACTGATGGCATTATTTAACATTGAAACCATCCTAACCCTATTTAATTATTTTCTTTCCTTTTTGAAAGTTTTCTTCTGTAACTACTATCATCATCAGAGATACTATATAGTCCACAGAACTCAGTAAGGTTAGGAATTTTGTTTTGTTTGTTCCTTGTAACTAAATGATAGAAAAGTGAATGTTTAATACAAGATATGTGGCTGTAAATAAATATAGGAATTGATGAAAGTAAAGGGATAAACATGAAAAACAACTGTAGACATATAGAAAATAAAACTAACAAAAAATACAACTTTCTGGAAATAGGATTCCAAATCTATATGAAATCTGATTATTTGGGAAAATTTAGACATTGTATTTTTAACATGTATAGAATAACAGCAAATAATCTTTATATTCAGTAGATGCAAGAAAAAGAATTCATCTGAATATTTTAAGTACAGGCATAGACTTTAATTTTTGAAATAAAAATATCTCTTTAATTGTATATTATTCTGAGTATCCTTTGCTTAAGGAAGTTGCTTGGAACTTGATTTGGGCATTAAGGATTAAAATGATAAGAGTGAGGACAAAGTATTAAGATATGATATATAGATAAATTCATTTATTGTGACTTTTCTTGTTTTCTGCACATAATACACAAATTTAAATTATGAGAATAAAGTACTTGTGTAAGGCATTAAGTTTGAGTTTATAATAATCAAGGAAATAACAATTATATATGAAAACAAAGTAGTTTTATTATGTAGAGTCCCATTTTATAGTCGTTCTTACTTGTGGAATTGCTCTCTATACCCATATTTATTATTACATAGAATAGTCATTGCTTTTTTATTAACCATATGTACTAGCCCATTCTCACACTGCTATGGAGAAACACACAAGAGTGGGTAATTTATTTTAAAAAGAGATTTATGCAGGATGGGTGTGGTGGCTCACATCTCTAAATCCCAGACTTTGGGAGATGGAGGTGGGTGGGTCACCTGAGGTCAGGAGTTTGAGACCAGCTTGGCCAAGATGGTGAAACCCCGTCTCTACTAAAAATACAAAAATACACGGTGGCTCATGCCTGTAATCTCAATACTTTGGGAGGCCGAGGCAGGTGGATCACCTGAGGTCAGCAGTTTGAGACCAACCTGACTGACTTGGTAAAACTGTCTCTAATCAAAATACAGAAAAAATAATAGCCAGGTGCGGTGGCACATGCCTGTAATCCCAACTATTTGGAAGGCTGAGGTAGGAGAATCACTTGAACCTAGGAGATGGAGGTTGCAGTGAGCCAAGATGTCACCATTGCACAACAGCCTTCACAACAAGAGCAAAAATTGAAAGAAAGAGAAAAAGAGAAGGAAGGAAGGAAGGAAGGAAGGAAGGAAGGAAGGAAGGAAGGAAGGAAGGAAGGAAGGAAGGAAGGTGGGAGGGAGGGATGGAAGAGGGAAGGAAGGAGCAAAGGAAGGAAGGAAAAAGGTTTAGTTGACTCACAATTCTGCATGGCTGGGGAGGCCTCAGGAAATTTATATTCATGGTGGCACCTCTTTACAGTGTGGCAGGAGAGAAAATGAGTGCCAGAAGGGAACATGCCATACACTTATAAAACCATTTGATCTCCTGAGACTTACTCATTATCAAGAGAACAGTAGGGGGGAAACCACCCTCGTGATTCAGTTACCACCACCTGGTCCCACCCTTGACATGTAGGGATTATTACAATTCAAGGTGAGATTTGGGTGGGGACAGAGTGCCAAACCATATCACCAGCTATCCCTCTTTTTCTAACAGAATCCAGATTTTCTTTTTGGTAACCAGCCTTCCTCCAATTTTATCATATATTTTTATGGTCTTCAACCCACAGCAAGTTCCACTGATAGGTCCTCAGTGTCATCTAATCAACATAATCCTGTCACATTGCTGAAGATTAGTTGTGATATGAGGAGTAGCCTCAATAAATAAGACCAAACTCAGGGGATTGTTTGATTGTGGTCAGGGTTCATGTTCTCTATCTTCACTGTGAATTAGAGCATTTGAAGCCCTGGTTGCTAGTGGCTGCCATTCGGTAAGCTAATTAAAAATCCCTGAGGCCTAAACCAGGTAAGAAAGAGAGCATTGCTGAGAGAGTCAGAGAAAAACTGAGCTAGAGTCCTGATTGGACCATGCCTGCCATCAGAATTATCTCTTTATCTCTAGCTTTTTAGTTACATAAATTCAGAAATCTTTCCATTGTTGAAGTGGTTTTTATTTATAAAGACATAAGAGTGTGTGTGTGTAAGTGTGTGTTGTGTTGTATTGTGTAAGATTTGGATTTTAAGAAAATGCTTTTTTTGATTTTGTCATTTTTTAACTGAGATTCTATTTGCTATATATAAAGTTCTTCCCGCTAGCACCGCCTAAAAGTGTTCTTTGTATCCAATTAAATATCTCAGCAGTTTTGCTTCCCTAACTGTAGTTTTGTCCCCTGAACCTTAAAATAAATTTTAATATGAACATGTAGACACTTCTTCAGTGCATTATTGCAGATTGAAATAATTGGCTCTATAATTATATTGTTTCTCTTTAGAAAAATAGAATCAGAGCACTAATACTGCAATTTGTACATTGATCCCTTTATATCATTCTGTCAGACTTCTGGCCTTCAAAGATTTCCTGAATATATTATAATATAGCATAATTCATTCATTTTGCCATCCACACCATTTGTGAGAATGATCTCATTAATTACTTTCAATTTCAACCATTATGCCCTAATCTGAAACTATGTCCTTTTCTTCAATATTTTTGTCATGATATTTTAAACTCTTTCTTCAGGAAAAAATAATAATCCCAGCCCTTTGTGAAGACATGATAAATTATTTCCATGAAGGCTCATTTACAAAAAACAACAAAGAGTTCTTACAAGAAACAAGGGAACAATCAATTCAGATGAAAAAGATGTGACCTATGCCTACCCAAACCCAAATGAACCTTTTCCATGGTTCAAAAATTTGGTTAGCTTATTTCTGTTTGTTTTCTTTTTCATTTTCATGCTTCTATGCATTTCCAGCTGGACTGACTCTGGAAGGAGCAATATATTACAAGAAAGCTTGTTCTTGTATTTCTAATCTGATTTCAACCTTTCATGAGAAAGTTTAGGATAATCACAAGAATGCTGAATTTCTTATCTGAACCTCATCTCTCAACCTTAAAAGGCTTACCCATCACTAGTTCTTAATTTCCAGTGTTCCCTTCTGGGCTAGAATATTTGTTATGATTAATGTATCTCTGATCTTTCTCTGCGTCTCTGTCTCATTCTTTTTCTTCCCCTGTCTTCCAAAGATAACATCTTTCCGGTGTTTCTCTCACATTTACTTGTTTATTTTCAGCTCTTTCATCTCTTAAAAGGTTAACTTTGGAATCATGGCTAGAGATTCCTAGTGGACTGGAAAGTCCACGCGAAAAATATGTTAGAGATTGTGAGTTAACTTTATAATCTTTTCTCTATTAAAAACAATAGTTCCAACATTGAGTTACTTGTCTGGATTGTACAATTAAGGTAATATTAAACATATAATATTTGTCACTATCAGGCAATTATTGATTGTATAATGGATATAATTAAGTTTTAAATTCATTCTCATATACATATTCTTAAATGCAATAATTAAAAGCATTACTTTCAAAATGCACTATTTTATTAGAGCAAGAAATTGAAGCCGTTATTGACTTTATTTCAGTATCTTGATCTGTGAACATAGTAACAAGAGAGAATAAAGCCAGGAACACTGAAGTATTATGAGCTTAATTTACCATTTTGCCAAGGAGTCTGAGAGTTGGGAGAAAGGCCTACATGGAAGTTAGATTAAATTGAGAGCCAGCAAAAAGTATATTGGAGAAATAAAAATAATAGCCTTGCTACCTAAGAAAAAGTGCAAACGAGAGTGGACAAAGAACACAGAGGAATAGAAATAAGGAACAGATGAAAACATATTATTTTAAGGCACAACCCGTAATTCTTTGGCTAAAAAGAGTTCCATAAGCTAGTCAATATGAACCAAATCCCTTCTTAGTAACAGTAGTAATGTTACTTTTTAAACATCTGCTAATTATTTTTTAAAACTAAACTACATATTTGAAAAGAATAAGCAAATGAAGTATTTTTTTAAAAACACTTCAATATAATTTTGATGCATACAGTCATAGCAAGCTATTTTTGTCATAAAATATTTAATTAGAGGAAAAGTGGGAAAATCAGTGAACGAATAAAGAACTTCTGATTATACTCCACAACACTTTTATTCTCCACAGCTTTGCTTTTCTCATGACATGATGGCATATAACACTTAATTGAAGGAGTTCTATTCTAGATCATTTATTACTAGAGATATTTTATAAGGCATAACAAAACCTGTGAAACTATTATATAGGCTTTTTATTTAATCCAATCACAATTGTTGTTTCTGCTACAGATGCTGTATCTAGAGCATTTCTGAACAGCCAGCTGCGGGAGTGGCTCAGTTTATGGAAAAAGAAATCAGGTATTGATAGAGATTGAAATCTGTAGTTCTCATTAACCATCTAGCTCAGAGCAAGTAAATTAAGTCCGAAGCTTTAGGAGTTAGTTAGTTACTATTTTTCTTTTTATTCTGATTTTCTGATAAGGATAAAAATAAACAAAATATCTCTCTCATATAATTATTATAAAAAATAAGTCTAATAGAGGTGGAAAACTATAGAAGAGAAATACTATAAAGTTAGAGATTATAAGAGAATAACAATGGGATTCTAGTAGATTGGACTTTGGAGTCAGGCATACCTGAGTCCATATCAGAACTTTTCTGCTTTCAAGCTGATGACTTTATGCAAATTCCAACTTCCTGTAGCCCCAGTTTCCTTACCTGTAAAAATTATGATACCTGTCTTATTGAGTGGTTTCGAGAATTAAGAAGATAAGATAATGTTTAGCAGAGCTCTTCAAAGGAAGTAACTAATAGTCAGTGGAACTAAAAATAATAATATGTGTTAATAAGGTGGTGCTTTCTAAGTGTTTTGAAGTCATAAAACTGACCAGGTAAGATATAACCTGCTGAAAGTGAGATTAATCTTTTTGAAATTTATGCTAAAGGATGGTGAGCTGAAATTCTGTTCCCATCACATTGGATAACTTAAATGCACGTTTTCATATATATTAAATAATGAGAATAATTTTAAACACATAAACCATTTTGATAAAAACTTTGTTTTTTTCAAAATTCCGCAAGGACTTTTTAAACTCCCTTAAGGTTATTGTCAATATGATGCTGTTTATTTCAACCTATGGAGCTGCTGTCTCCTTGTTTTTTTCCTCATCACATCTACCAGCTTTAACTGGTGTCAACTCTTTGTGACCTCTAGCGAGGCAAATGGCTGAAGCGTCTGGCAGGTTCATTTGCACAGTAATGAGTTCTGTCTACTAGTCTGCTAGAGACTGATGGGGAAAAGGAGATTACCTTCCACCACTGCCTATTAAATGTGATTGACATCCCTGTATGATATCTGTCTTCCTTAACAGCCCTCTCTCCTCCCCTAGAAACATTTCATGAGCACAAAGAGTTGTACTTAAATGAGGTCTGAAGCATTGCTCTTCTCCTTCCACATGTTTTCATTTCAATTGGTACAGTATAAAAAGAATTTTTTAGCAAAAAGAAAAAAATGATATAATACTGTGCATAACTGGTAAGAGAAAAAAATCTTTTCAGTGTTTAAAAATTTTTAAAAATACTTTATTGAGTCTCCTTCGGCAAAATAAACATAGAGAAGGAGTAGAAACTATATTCTAACTCATTATGTTTTCTTTAGCATCTTTAATTGTGCCATTTTGCTTAATATTTTAAAACTTTGATATTTATCATAGCTTTTATGTCTACATTTATTTTCTAATCTTCTGTTTTATTTTTTCTTTTAGTTCCATATTATCTATTTTAATACAACTTTTGTTTTATGGTGCAATTCCTATAAACTTCTTTAAAAAGAAGTATATTAATAGCTCAGTAACTCAAAAAATTGCAACAAACACAATAAGTATTTTATTTTATACTTCTGAATAATGCATTTCGCAGAAAACATTTTTAAAATCCTCAACATAAGAGATATATTTTAATTCTTGTAAAATTTATTTTTTCTATCATACTTTACCTTCAGCATAAAAGGCCATAAAATCATGTACATTTTATTTTAAGGTCCTATTCCCAGGGTCCATTTTTAAACAAAATGAAAGGCTAAATTCTATTTAATTGCAACAAATCATGGGTAAGTCATATCGAAATCCTTTCCATGCAGTAAAAATGTGACTAGCAGTTTCCATTGTTAGATGTTTACATTCCTGTGTATGCTTATGACCTGTGTTTCATGTCAAACTTCCACTTGGTCGAATTTTTAAATGTACCTAATCATAATATTATTTATGCTAAGATCTGATGACTTAATAGCTTAAATAGCTGCCCACCAACTTTGAACTACATTTATTACATTCCTGCATAAGCAACTGTCTACATAAGGTAACCATGAAGTTCTGTCTGTTGGTATAAGTTTGGGTACAGCTCCAATTGGAGCTATTTGAGGCATGAAATACACCTCAGCATAATTTAGAATTTCTGTATGTGTAAATCAACTATTTGACAAGAGCAATGTAGCCATGAAAGTGAGGGTAGAGCAGAAATGTGTTTACATTCACTCTACATTTATTTTCATTGAATGAGAAAGCAAAGGCAGGCAGCTGCAGAAGAAAAAGTCAAATGCTGCTGTTAAGAGTCACTAAACAATTTTGCCACATCAATTGTTTATGAGATATTTCTCACAGTTTTGCTGTTACAGAACAGTAAAAAACTAAAGAATAGATGTCATCTGTCAACTATAGCAAAACAGTGTTCTTACAGTCTCTTTGCAATAAAATAATGCTTCTTCTACATTAACAATTACTTCATTAAAGTATGGAGAAGGAGTTATTTGGGACCTTTCTGGTATTAGTATTGTAATTTAATTTAACTTAGAGCAGAGGAGGAAATTTAATCATCGTTATATGCTCATGCGATTAAAAATCATGAAAAGTAATTACGTCACCCATTGTAGAGTCCAAAGGAGTTATGATTGATATAGCACAAGAAATGCATTAGAGTTGAAAAGACAATTCTGAAAAAAATAACAGGAAGACATATTGATTTGTTTTTAAACACACAGACACTTTTTTGAATAATGTATTAAAAGCAAAATAATCAAGAGGCACAAGTATTTACTGGCATAACTTGAAGATATTGCAGGCTTGATTCCAGACCACTGCAAAAGCAAGTGACACAATTTTTTTTGTTTCCCAGTGCATATAAAGGTTGCGTTTACACTACACTGTAGTCTATTACGTGTGGAATAACATTATATCTACAGAAGCAATGTATTACATTGGTGCAAAGATAATTATGATTTTTGCAATTATTTTCAATGGAGAAAACTTCGATTGCTTTTGCACCAATTGAATACAAACCTTAACTAAAAATACTGTATATCAGAAAAAATGCTGATGATCATCTGGACCTTCAGTAGTCATAATATTTTGCTGGAAGAAGAGAGTCTTCATGCTGACGCTCCTCACTGATAAAAGTGGTGGCTGTTGAAGTTTGGGGTCGCTGTGGCAATTTTTAAAATAAGGCAACAGTGAAGCTTGTCACAGCAATTGACTCTTCCTTTCACAAAAGACTTCTCTAGCATGCAGTGCTGTTTGGCAGCATTTTAGCCACACTAGAACTCCCTTCAAAATTGGAGTCAATCCTTTCAAATCTTGCTGTTGTTTTGTCAGCTAAATTTATGTAGCGTTCCAATTCCTCTGTTGTCATTCCAACAATGTTCACAGCATCTTCACTTGGTGTAGATTTCATCTGAAGGAACCACTTTCTTGCCTCATCCATAAAAAGCAACTCCTTATTCATTCAAATTTTGTCATAAGATTGAAGCTATTCAGTCACATCTTCAAGATCTAATTCTTTTGCTATTTTTAATATATCTGCAGTTACTTCCTCCACTGAAGGCATGGATTCCTCAAAGTCATCCATGAGGGTTGGATTCAACTTCTTTCAAACTTCTGCTAATGTTGCTATTTTTACCTCCTCCCATGAATCACAAGTGTTTTTAATGGTATCTAAAATGGTGACTCCCTGCCAGAAGGTTTCAATTTACTTTCCCCAGATTCATGAGGGGAATCACTATCTGTGGCAGCTACAGCCAGCCTTATGAAATGTATTTCTTAAATACAAATACTTGAAAGTTGAACTTATTACTTGATCCCTGGGCTGCAAAATGGATGTTGTGTTAGCAGACATGAAAACATTAATCTCTTTGTACATCTTTATCAGGGCTCTTGGGTGACTAATTGCATTGTCAATGAGCAGTAGTATTTTGAAAGCAGTAGATTTTTTTCAAAGCAGTAGTTTTCAACAGTGAGCTTAAAATACTCAGTAAACCATGCTGTAAGCAGATGTGCTATCATCCAGGCTTTGTGCTTTCATTTATAGAGCACTGGCAGAGCAGATTTAGCATAAATCTTAAGAGCCCTAATATTTTGAGGATGGTAAATGAGCATTGGTTTCAACTTAAAGTCACCAGCTACATTAGCCTCAGCGTGTCCTCTGAAGGTAGATTTTGGCTTCTTCTCTGTCATTATGAAATTTCTAGATGGCATCTTCTTTCAATAGAAAGCTGTTGTGTCTACATTAAAAACCTAATAATTGGCAGTCACTTTCATCAATAATCTTAGCTAGATCTTCTAGATATCTTACTGCAGCTTCTACATCAACACTTGCTGCTTCTCCTTACACTCTACTGTTATAAAGATGACTTCAGCTCTTAAATGTTAAGTTTTCTAGTTTCAAATTCTTTTTCTGTAGCTTTCTTACCTCTCAGTCTTCACAGAGTTGAAGAAAGGTAGGACCTAGTTCTGGATTAGGCTTTGACTCACTTAAGGGAATGTTGTGGCTTCTCTGATCTTCTACTGAGATCACTAAAGCTTTCTCTGTATTAGTAATAAGTCTGTTTCACTTTTTTATTCGTGTGTTCAATTGTATAGTACTTCCAATTTTTTTCAAGAGCTTTGTTTTGCATCCACAACTTCACCAAATGTTGGCTTAAGGGGCCTAGGTTTGGCATATCTCAGCTTTCGACATGCCTTCCACAGTAAGTTTAATCGTTTGTAGCGTTTGATTTAAAATGAGAGTAGTGTTGCTTTTCTTTTCACTTGAACACTTCAAGCCCATCATAGGATTATTAATTGGCCTAACTTGAATATTGTGTCTTAGGGAATAAGTAGGAAGAGAGAACGAGAAACAGCCAATCGGTGAAGCAGTTAGACAGCTCACTGTGTGACTCACATTTATCAATTAAGTTTGCCTCTTATATGGGCACAGCTCTTGAAAAACAATTACAATAGTAACATCAAGATCACCAATCACATAACCATTACAGATATAATGATGAAAAAAGTTTGAGATGCTGTGGGAGTTAGCAAAGAAACATGAAGTGAGCACATGCTGTTGGAAAATGGAACCAATAGGCTTGTTCAATAAAGGTTGCCACAAACCTTCAACTTGTTAAAAAAAAAAAAAAAAAAAGGGAATCTGTGAACTGCAATAGAGCAAAGCACATTAATGAGGTATGATTATATAATCCTTAAATTATGTTATATTTGTGATGATCTGGTGATCTAAGTCAATATAAGCAACATCTAAAAATTATTTTAATAAGAAGTATTACATGTAATGGAACAACAAATCTAACAGAACACACAAGGATGAAGTGTTAAAGAAAATCCAGAATTTTTCTTCAATATCAGGAATGAAGAAAAATAATTCACTTTTAGTTTTAAATTTCCAGAAAGGTTTAGGCACTATTTAATTTAAGAAATTAAATACAACTGGTGGAATTTTACAATACAAGATGGAATCTTATATAGATTTCACACTACTATTAAAGCTATTTTCCTAAAAGAATTCCTTTTAATATAAAGGCTGGGTATTTTATTTTAGATGCCTAACAGTAAAAACTAAATATTCTTCAACCTTAGAAAACAAATCTTTTTACGTATCTTTTCTAAGCATCCTTTGTTCTGACAGGCATCTTCTCGAATAGCTCAAGAGGGCAATGCATATGACCAATTTTTTCACACCGTTATATTTTCATTCAGTAAATTTTCTGAGGGCCATAGGTTTATCCCTGAGCATTGCATATAGTTATACAGGGTGCTCAACAAGTGTATGTTAAAAAATTGAATACTGAACATCAACATTGTCTTGGAGAAAGTGTTAATTATTGAATTTTTAATATTTCCAATCTGCATAGAAAATTATTTGAAACAGAAAAAATTATTAAAGTATGAGGCTTTGTGGTAAATGATTTCAGCTATTTTATCTCCTAATACATTTAGAAATGCAGAAGTAAATCACCTTTCAAGTAATGATTTTTCTGCTATTTATACCAAAACCATGCTCAGAAAAAAAAAAAATCTATAAAAATAAATAAACTTTTCATTTCTCTATGTGTCTACCCATCTGGAAACATTCTTTATATGTATTGACTTCTGAGATTTGTTGTCCATGAAAACAGGAATTTCTGATTTTGCATTAGCTTCCCATAAACTATTATTATATTCAATAATGTTAATAAATTATATTTATTGAATATATATTCTGTTTATTATTTAAATACATGTATGAATTCATTTAATCCTCAGAACAACTCCCTGAGGTAGAACTTATTATTTTACATGCATTTTAACGATGAAGTAAGAAGGAATGGTGATATTAAGTATCTTCCCATAGGTAACAAACGCAATAAATGGTAGGATAAGAATTTGAACGAAAGAAGCTGACTTCACAGCCAGCCTTCCTAGCCACTTTGATATTATTTCTGGCTCCAACCATCAACACCATTGTTAGTTTGCCTTCCAAAGAAATTCATGAATTGTCTTACAGGATATTAATCTTATTAACAGAGCAACTTTTCAGAATTCACATATAATATATTACTTAACCATACACAAAAATAATCTCTTTCTTTAAGGATAATGTGCTTAGTATATTAGTAAAGGAAAAAGAAAACATTAATCTCTATGACTTACTATTGCAAAAGTGATGGTCTGTTTTTATCACTTCAGATATTATAAATTGATAGAGATTTAACATAAACACCCAGGATGCACATATGACACTACTAGAACAAATTCAACCATGGAAGAAAGTTTTGAATTTTAATCAAAGCACCTAAAATTAAATTAAATTTGTGTTGCCTATTTATAGGAATGCTTTAACCCAATATGAATCAAAACACTATCTACAGCATGCGAAGTCACTTTTTAAACTCTGGCTTCCTAATGATCATATTTAAGTGTTGCTGTAAGAATTTGTCATAAATCTCTAATAGTCATTCAATAAGTTAGTACCTGAATCAAAAATAACCAAACTAAATAATTAAAACACATACTATTCATTTTAAAACAAGATAGTTATAGCATATAGGCAACTAATATTAAAATAAAGGTTTATTTCCAAAGTATAGGCAACTAATATTAAAATAAAGGTTTATTTCCAAAGTACAAATAGTCCAAAACTGAAATAAAATTTTTAAAATAGGCATTTGTAGAGATGATCTTGATTCTTAGATTGTGTTCATTTTTGCCCTTAGAAATGAAGACGCATATGTCACATACACATCTATCATATACCTAACATGCATATATGCATATAAATACATATACATATATGTATATATTAAATGTTTTGAATCAGCATTTATATTTCATGTTTAATATAAGATTTACCTAGTTCATTCTAAAGCCATTTATAACAAATTGCTTATACTTTATTCACTCTGTCTCACTTAATGAAAACCTTATTTTCCCTTTCCTGATTTCCTGAATGTTTAGGATTCACTTTGTTCTCTTCTTATTCATTCAAAATCACCTTCTTTTCTGAGGGTAAAGATATATGTTTATGAATCATTCAGCAGGTCAACCACATGTGGATTCTACATTGCTACAACCATATGTTATTTGTACCCTGCTTTCTGATTTTGTGATTGACAGCATGAGTTTAAGGGTGACTGTGTTTATTTTCTGCAGTTTAAGATTGATAGAAGATCAGCAAAGCATATTCACTGATACCTAATATTGCTCCCCTGATGACAGTAGGAATGAAAATTGACACATGAACTCTTTGAACTTCAGGAAAAGAAAAACTGTAGCAGATTGTGGGCTAATGCAAATAGTGACACAAATTAACTTTGAAAATATTGAGAATACAATAGGAAGAAAGAAATTTGAAAATGAGCCAATAATAATGTCAAGAAATTATAGACTCTTTTCAACAACTTTTCACTTTCTAAATTGTAAACATGAGCATTATTCTTTTTACAAGGCAGGTATTATATATTTTACTAATTTGCCTTCAAAAAGGAATTCAATTATATAATGCAAAATTAAATAAGGAATACATTATACCAAGGGCTCTGTGCTGACAAGCAGTTAGTAAATTGTTGCTATAAAACCAGAACAAAAACTACGAATATGTCACCATTGCTGAAGCCAATACTGTCATACAAGTTTAAGAAGAGAAAGTAATTCAAATTCTGATTTATTTTAACATCAGCTATTATGGCTCAAGTTTACATAGCAAAGAAATAATATAAATTAATAACATTAATATAAAACATTTATAACATTAGTATAAATTATAACAATTATATATTATATATTACATTGTATAATAATATAAATTGTAACATTAATATAAATTTATAACACTAATACATAAAAACAATGTTTTTTCCCATAGTTTTTAGTTAGTCAAGATTTTGAAATTGGTAGTTGAAGGTTCAATTCTTTTAATCAGGCTAGTCTCTTTTTAGTCTTCAAATAAGCCATGCTTTTGCATAGGTCCTTAATGTTCCTGATGCCTGGAACTCTACAAATACTTTCAGTGGAATTTCTATCTA